TCCCCCCAACAGCACTCAGGCCTGATACAAACAGTAGGCTGGTTCATGGAAGGAGTTGTGTAAATATCAAAATGTCTTGATGGGTAAATGTCAGTCTAGAGGTGTGCATTTGCATTCAGGCTTTTCTAGGTAAAGCCTATAAACAATGCAGACCCTCCATGATTAAAAGAATTCAAATCCAATGAGTGGAAGGGGTGGGCTGGGGACAGTAAGGTTGGAGAGGAAAACAATGTGTGATACCGGATGTCACGCAGCCAGTAAGTCAGGCAGGCTCTAATGCACCTGTGGGAAGCCCACATTGTGGAGTGAAATCAAAATGAGCAATTTCAGTACAGAAGAGGAGCTGGTACAACTGTGCAATACTTATGTTAAGGTTGGATGTGGGCAGGGCCTACTCTCCCTGCACATGGAGGTACCCTGCTCATGTGCATGTGCTCATTAATGCCTGGGCCCAGGCTGGACTGTGCTCATATGAACGTGACATTATGGCGATACCCTGACTTAGAGATGAGATGAGAGTTCCTCTGTAAAACGTGATGTGCCATATTACTACACTCCTTGCTGGTAAATTGTTGCATTTAGGAGGGACACCGCTGAGTCTATGCCCTCTCCACCCATCCAGCGTACCTCTGTGGGAATGGGGTCCTGCAATGTACTAGCATGGATCTCATGTGTGCACATGAATTTACCTTCTTTCACTCTCCTGTACCATGTGCCTGGGCACATAGGGTCTCCACACTGTGGCTCGGTTCCAGACAGTTTTAGTGGAACTGACCATTAGGGAGGAAGCCAAAACACCGGCCCCTCACTACCGTAAGACCTTCCATCTATGCTAGGTACTGTGCCATATTGACCACCAGTTCCCTCCAGTTCTTGGTTACCCCTGGCAATTATTCTCTTCCTCTGACTCTTCTGCCAAATTAACCCTTCATAGTGGCCCTACTTCCATACCCCATGTGTGTTATACAGGCCCTGTTGTTTTAATATGCAAGTATCCACCAGGCACCCCTTTCAATGACTTTAGGCCAGGCTTTAAACCGTTAATAAACTTTACTAAACCGCTTGGAAACATTACAGCATAAAGTGCAGCGCAGTCCCCCTGACTAACTATGGTGTGACTGCCCAGGCATACCTGTAGAGGTGTGAGTCCATGATTGACAAAGTCCATTCTTAGAAAATCCCCTGAGGATGAAAACAAAGGTTACTTCAAGTTACATCTTCTACGGTGGTTCAGACCTTCCTGCTTCCTATTTGACCCCATCAAAAAGTCCCCCTGAGCCCAGCCTTCCCGCTATTTATATCTAGACTGGGAAGGAAGGCAGGACTAAAAAAAGTCCTTCTAACCTGCAACCCAAAGTTTAACTCTTCTTTAACCCGGGCAGTTTAAGCTTGCTGGCTATACTACATACCCCTAGACTTGCTTCCAGGTCTCATGCTGAGTGACTGCATTTTGCTTATTGAACACAGGAGGTCAGCTGCTAAACACAGGTGCCATTTCAGGAATGCTTTGCATTTTCTGAATAAATTCAAAAGGTTCTCTGAAAGCACAAGAGGAACAGGCGGGGCAGAGACATCATGGTCTCCGCCTTGTCCAGTCACAGTACGTTTACATTCATTCAAAAAATGCAACACATTCTCTGAATGGCACCCATGCCAAAGGACCGACTCTCTAAGTTTAGTAAGCAGAATGCCGCAACTCATCATGGGACCTAGAAGTAAGGGGAGTAGTGGTGTCTATTCAGTGATTTCCAGCTTCCAGGAGCATCAGCCAGGTATGTCATATACAGAGTTACATTGCGCTAATCTGCTTCAATGTAACTAAGTTTAAAATACCCATGCTTGGAGTTCTTCTTTAATTTTACAAATTCATTATTCATTTTGTATTCATATATTCGACCACATCTCATGGTAAGTTTTTATTTGGAAACCTTTGCGTTCCTAAAAATCTGAAAATCTGTATTAAAATAATAATTCCAGTACTAATATAAAAAGTAATTTTATTACTATTCTTATTAGTTTAGAGATGACCTTGAGATGTAGATTGTTTCTGTGGTGACTGCTATTAGAAGATGAAATTTGTTATTATATTCTTGTACCTATGCCAGTAGAAGGGTTAACAACCAGGCAAACTCATTAGACTAATGGCTGTGATCTTTTGCTGTTGTGGTTCACTTCAACAGGTGCTGCATAAACTTTATTGATTTCATGAGCCACACAGCGACGCTAAAATATACTGCTAATAACCCACTATTTCTCACTCTGGTACCCAGGGTGCTTTTCACTCCGTAATAATAAGCCAATCAGAGGAAAGCACAATTCTCAATGATTGTCTTTGGAAACTGGAGACATCAGCAGTTATTTTTGGAAAGTAGAGTTCCACAGTAATTACAGATGCAGGCTGACCTATTATAAGCTCTAAACAAACGGCATAGGAGCCAATTAACGATGCTCAACAAATTCCCCAATGTTTAAACAGAGTATATAGATAAGGAGTGGCAGCTTAACAAGATCACCATTTCATTAGTTATACTAATTAATATATTATCTGTGAAGTTTGAGAAATATGCATCACATATACGAGCTCTCTTGGTCAATACACTGGAAAAATCGAGCTTTGCTTGTAACACATTTTTTATTTATAGGTGAAGAAAACATTAGAAAACAGTATCGGTGTGACAAAAATTTTCGATATCAGCTAAACGCACTGGTGTTTAACTACTTAATGACTGCCCTGTAGAAGATTTACTGCTACAGGGCGGCCCCTTTGCACAGGATCACATATATATACATGATTCTGCATTTCCGGGTAGGGGGCGCGCATGAGCCACGTGCGCGCCCTACCTGTGCCGCAGATCACGGCCCCTGGTATCAATCACCAGGTCTCAGCTGATGATTACCCGCCATCATCGACAGGGAGGAGGGCTGCATCGTTTACCAACAGCCCTCCTCCCTGTCAGTTTGGGCACACTGCTCTGGATGGCTGAACAGAGCCATCCAGAGCAGTGTGCTTACAGTGACGCACACCCCCCACCCCCCCCTAGTAAACCACTCCCATCACACAGTTAACCCTTTGATTGCCCCTCATGTTAACCCATTCCTGCCCAGTGCCATTAGTACAGTGTCAGTGCTTTTTTTTTTTAGCACTGATCACTGTATTGGTGTCACTGGGTATGTAAATGACACCAAGTCAGTTCCCTCCAGTGTCAGAATGCCAGCCACAGTCCCCCTAGAAGTCGCTGATCACTGCCATTATTAGTATATAAAATTTTTTAAAAATCCAGTATCTATACCGCCATTTGTAAACGCTATAACTTTCATGTAAAACAAATAATTTACACAGAAATACTGCGACAGGGCGGCATGAGTGCGCAAAATCACATATACAGTATATACGTGATTCGCACTCTTGTGGTTTTCATGCCCCTCCCAGATAGCGTCAGATTGCGCTTCAGTACACCAGTAATCTCATTTAACCCCTTGATAGCCAGGAACACGCTCATACACGATAAACCTCCATTGCTAGTATAGTGTCTGAACAGATCAATATCTTTGATCAGACCAGCACTATACCAGTGTTCACATTAGTATAGCGTCCCCAAAAACACAGCGTTAGTGAGATCAGCCCCGGCACCTGCCAGCACCTACGTTTAGCCCCTACACTTACCCCCCCCTTCTCCACCAGCAAATGCAGTGTCAGTAGGTCACGGTCGCTTGATACATTGCACACAAAACCGCAGTGTTCGCAGAATCAGGCCTGATCTCTGCTAACACTTGCCGGTAAATTTTGATGACTCTCATATGCAGCAAAGTGCCAGTACTAGTGCCGCTCTAATTTTTGATAAACTGGCGAGCACCAGTGGCCTAGTACATCCTGGTCTTTCACATATCAGCACTGCAGTATCACTTGGTGATGTGGCGAGTCCTATAAGTGCAGTACAAGCTGGTGCGGTGGCGAGCACAAGTAGTGTCCTGCAACCACCAACAATTTGCACACAGGCCGTAGAGCTCCTAGTATCCTTTCGGATGTGCTTGCAAATCCCGATTGACAGCCCACAACTTCTGCAGCACCCGTACTTCCCCATTCACTGCCCAACCCAGAATTCAGGTGGAAACAGCAAATTTATCTACTTCCCTTGATTTTTTTGTAGCTGTTTTTCACAGAAGATCTGTATGCATTGATTGTGGATCAAAGCAATTGATATACATAACAATTTATCGCCTTCAACCCAAATTCAAACCTTGCCAGACCATTCGCATGAAAACCCATTGCGGTTTCCGAATTTACTTTTTTTTTGGGCCTAACTCTCAACATGGGCATTACTAAAAAAATGAGTTGCGTTATATTGATCCACAGACCCGATTCATCATATGTCCGTGTTCTCTGCTGCCATGGCCAGGCATAGATATGAGAGTATAATGTGTTTTATGCATTTCAGCGACACTACACTCTGTCGTCCTGGGGGTGACCCTCAATTTGACCGGCTCCACAAAATTAGGCCCCTCGTAAATTACCTTAACCAAAAATTTGCAGATGTCTAAACTCCACAGCAAAAAATCTGTGTTGATGAGTCCCTCATTAATTTTTCTGGCCGCCTTGCATTCAAAACAATTTTTCCCCATCAAGCGTGCCAGATATGGAGTCAAGATGTATAAGACCTGTAAGAGGACAACAGGCTATACATATAAGTTTCAGATTTATGAGGGAAAAGATAGTCACATGGAGCCCCCCGGATGCTCAGACTACATGTGGAGTAGTGGCAAGATAGTTTGGGCTTTGTGTCATCATTTTTCCATATGGGGTACCACTTATACGTGGACAATTTTTATTCAAGCGTGCCACTATTTAGACATTTGTACAATCTTGGAATTGGCCCATGTGGCACCGTAAGACCTAATGTGTGCCCAATCAGGGGCGGACTGACCATTGGGGAACTCGGGCACTGCCCGAGGGCCTGGGGTCAGTAGGGGGCCCTATGAGATGTTCCCGGTACCTTTCATAGGCTTTTTTTTTTAGGGTGTGGTTTGAGTGTAGGCAAGGACACAGGGGCCCCATGATCCCCTATTGCCCGGGGGCCCCATGAGTTGTCAGTCTGCCCCTGTGCCCAATATTAGATGTGGGTGGATGCAGGGCACTATATTCTAATTGTGTGCATACCATACACTTTTTCTGGCAGAGATTTCTTCTCTTTTTTCCTTCAGCCCACAGGCTGCATACAAAAAAAAGAAAAATAGCATTAATACCCAACAAGGACCAGTGACGTACTGGTACATCACTGGACTTTGAATGCTTATACCAGAATAATGCCTACAGCTGCAGGAAGCATCCTGGTATCCTTTTTTTCAGACAGCGATCGGCTTTCATGTAAAAGCAATCCTAATGGTTAATTAGCTGCAGGATTGCTTTTACAAACAGCTGGAGATGATGCCATCCCTCCCCCACTGCCTTCCACGGCCTTCTCAGGCAGTCCCGTGCCATCGAAAAAACTTGAGAATGCAGCCGGTGTTTCTGCCAGCTGACCATAGAGCTGATTGAAGACTGGAATGGTGCCAATCATCTCTATAGTCTAAGAAATCAGAAGCTATGAAGCATTTCAACAATTCAGTTTTGCAGGATATAAACAGCGCCATTTTTAAATTGGGAAAGCATCTGATCACACCGATCTTGGTGAGATTAGATAATGTAAGGGCAGAAGAGATATGTAGAGTTTGATAGACCCCAGATTTCTCAAAAAAGAATATATGACTATGCCCATTGAAGTTAAAAAAAAAATGAAGGGGACAGTGTAAAAGTAATAAAAAAAATCAAAATAATAACCCCCCCCGTGCACGTATGCATTAGCGTTGACCTGTGCCAGTATGTAAACAGCAGTTTCCCCATGCATGTGAGGTATCACCACGAACTTCAGATCAAGGGCAGTAATACTAGCTCTAGACTTCCTCTGTAAATCTAAAATGGTAGCTTGTAAAGGCTTTTAAAGCATTGACTATGGATATTAAAAATGTATGCAGTTTGTCGCCATTGCACGGGCATGCGCAGTTTTAAAGCATGTCATGTTTGATATCTATTTACTCGGCATAGAATTATCCTTTATATTTTATCAAATAATTGGCAAATATATTGTGTTTTTTGTGCATTAAAAGTAAAAAAAGTGTTTTTTTTTTCCAAAAATTTGCGTTTGAAAAAAATCACTGCGTGAGTACTATGTGACATAAAAAATTGAAGCACCCACCATTTTATTCACTAGGGTGTCTGCTTTAAAAAAATATATAATTTTTAAAAGTTCAAAGTAATTTCCTAGCAAAAAATACAGATTTTTTTCATGTGAACAAAAAGTGTCAGAAAAGGCTGGGTCTTCAGGTGGCTAGAAGAGTGAATGATGTGTGGCATAAACTTCTAATGCTGGGCATAAAATGCTGCCACCCCCCAAAAACGACCCCTTTATGGAAAAAAGACACCACAAACTATTTGCTGAGAGGCATGTTGAGTCAATAAAATAATTAATTTTTTTAGCACAAGTTTTTGGAAAATGACAAAGGAAAATAATTTTTTTTTACACAAAATTGTCACTTAAATGATTTATTGCTCATAATTCCATGGGTATATGTGGAATTACTCCCCAAAATACATTCTGCTACTTCTCCCAAGTATGGGGGTACCACGTGTGAGAGACCTTGGTGAGTATTTTGCAGATCTTGTTTGCTGCCACAAGTTTTTGGAATATGAAGAAAGAAAACAAAAACATATTTTTTCTTTTCTTTTTATATATTTGTGAGAAAAAAATAGATACTCACCATGCCTCTTTTTAAATTCCATGGGGTTTTCTACTTTCCAAAAAGGGAATATTTGGGGGGGGCTATCCTGAGATTTTAACGCCTCCGAAACTGTGATAGATAGTCAGGAAGTGTAATGAGGGAGTTAAGCACCTTCAGGCTTTCAGAGTGGTCATTGGATTTCAGGCTCCTGTATGTGACTAGGCTCTCAAAAAGTCTCACACATGTGGTATCCCCAAACTCGGTAGAAGTAGCAGAATGTATTTTGGGGTGTAAATATATAATTTAAATGACAACTTTGTGTAAAAAAAAAAATGTTTTTGTCATTTTTGAAAAACTTGTAGAAAAAAAAAATAAATCTTCTATGGATTCAATATGCCTCTCAGCAGATAGCATAGGTGTCTACTTTCTGAAAAGGGGTCATTTGGTGGTGTTTGTACTGTCCTGGTATTTTAGCACCTCAAGAAATGTGATGTCAGAAAGTAAAAGCTGTGTAAATTCCATTATCTATACCAGCGGTTCTCAACCTGGGGGTCGCGACCCCTTTGGGGGTCGAATGACACTTTCACAGGGGTCGCCTAAGACCATCGGAAAACACATATTTCCGATGGCCTTAGGAACCGAGACACCACTCCTCTATCCGTCTCCAGGTGTGGGCGGGATGACATGCCGTCCCTGTCATCTGGACACACCCCCGGGATCAATCCTTCGCCGGTGATTGGCCACCGGAACTGTAGCTCAGGAGAGGCACACAGGCGGCCAATCACCGGCGAGGAGGTGGAGCTTGGAGAGGAGGAGCCGAGCGGCACCGCGAAGATCGAGCGAGTGAAGAGGAGGAGAGCGGCCGGAGAAGGAAGACATCTGACCGGTAAATGTCTGTACCATGGGAGAGGGAGGGAGGGAGCGAGCCCAGGCTGGAGCAGGGGTCAGCAAGGTAAGTATCATTGGTGTCAGTGGGAGGAATAGTGCCCCATCATTGGTGTCACTAATACCAATGATGGGGCACTATTCCTCCCCCCACTGACACCAACGATGGGGCACTATTCCTCCCCCCACTGACACCAACGATGGGGCACTATTCCTCTCCCCACTGACACCAACGATGGAGCACTATTCCTCCCACTGACACCAACGATGGGGCACTATTCCTCCCACTGATACCAATGATGGGGCACTATTCCTCCCACTGACACCAACGTTGGGGCACTATTGCTCCCCCTGATACCAACGATGGGGCACTATTCCTCCCACTGACACCTATGATGGGGCACTATTCCTCCCACTGACACCAATGATGGGGGCACTATTCCTCCCACTGAAACCAGTGATGGGGCACTATTCCTCCCACTGATACCAATGATGGGGCACTTTTCCTCCCACTGACATCAGTGATGGGACACTATTCCTCCCACTGACACCAGTGATGGGGCACTATTCCTCCCACTGACACCAATGATGGGGCACTATTCCCCCCACTGACACCAATGATGGGGCACTATTACTCCCACTGACACCAATGATGGGGCACTATTCCCCCCACTGACACCAATGATGGGGCACTATTCCTCCCACTGATACCAACGATGGGGCACTATTCCTCCCACTGACACCAATGTTGGGGCACTATTGCTCCCCCTGATACCAATGATGGGGCACTATTCCTCCCACTGACACCAACGATGGGGCACTATTCCTCCCACTGATACCAATGATGGGGCACTTTTCCTCCCACTGACATAAGTGATGGGACACTATTCCTCCCACTGACACCAATGATGGGGCACTATTTCCCCCACTGACACCAATGATGGGGCACTATTACTCCCACTGACACCAATGATGGGGCACTATTCCTCCCACTGACACCAATGATGGGGCACTGTTCCTCCCACTGATACCAACGATGGGGCACTATTCCTCCCACTGACACCAATGTTGGGGCACTATTGCTCCCCCTGATACCAATGATGGGGCACTATTCCTCCCACTGACACCAACGATGGGGGCACTATTCCCCCCACTGACACCAATGATGGGGCACTATTCCTCCCACTGATACCAACGATGGGGCACTATTCCTCCCACTGACACCAATGTTGGGGCACTATTGCTCCCCTGATACCAGTGATGGGGCACTATTCCTCCCACTGACACCAATGATGGGGCACTTTTCCTCCCACTGACATCAGTGATGGGACACTATTCCTCCCACTGACACCAATGATGGGGCACTATTCCCCCCATTGACACATATGATGGGGCACTATTCCTCCCACTGACACCAATGATGGGGCACTATTCCTCCCACTGACACCAATGATGGGGCACTATTCCTCCCACTGACACCAGTGATGGGGCACTATTCCTCCCACTGATACCAGTGTTGGGGCACTATTCCTCCCACTGACACCAGTGATGGGACACTATTCCTCCCACTGACACCAGTGATGGGACACTATTCCTCCCACTGACACCAGTGATGGGGCACTATTCCTCCCACTGACATCAATGATGGGGCACTATTCCCCCCACTGACACCAATGATGGGGCATTATTCCTCCCACTGACACCAATGATGGGGCACTATTCCCCCCACTGACACCTATGATGGGGCACTATTCCTCCCACTGACACCAATGATGGGGCACTATTCCCCCCACTGACACCAATGATGGGGCACTATTCCCCCCACTGACACCTATGATGGGACACTATTCCTCCCACTGACACCAATGATGGGGCACTATTCCCCCCACTGACAACAATGATGGGGCACTATTCCTCCCACTGACACCAATGATGGGGCACTATTCTCTCCAATGACACCTATGATGGGGCACTATTCCTCCCACTGACACCAATGATGGGGCACTATTCCTCCCACTGACACCAATGATGGGGCACTATTCCTACCACTGACACCAATGATGGGGCACTATTCCTACCACTGATACCAATGATGGGGTACTATTCCTCCCATTGACATCAGTGATGGGACACTATTCCTCCCACTGACACCAATGACGTGGCACTATTCCTCCCACTGACACCAATGATGGGGCACTATTCCTCCCACTGACACCAATGATGGGGCACTATTCCTACCACTGACACACAATGATGGGGCACTATTCCTACCACTGATACCAATGATGGGGTACTATTCCTCCCATTGACATCAGTGATGGGACACTATTCCTCCCACTGACACCAATGACATGGCACTACTCCTCCCACTGCAAAATTACAGTTATGAAGTAGCAACAAAAATAATTTAATGGTTGGGGGTCACCACAACATGAGGAACT